GATGTAAGAAAATGTCTGTTAAAAGACTATTGAAAGTCTCAAAATGCAGAAACCTCTAGAACAAAATGGGTTGAAACGTTTGGTACTCAAGCACCAAAGAGAAATCATTTATCGCTTTCGTGACAAATTTGATGCCATTGACTCAATTGTTAATGCGCCCAAAACTGGTCGTCCTAACAGTTTGCACAGAGGACATAAGCAACTTGTTGACGAAACATTTTTTCTCAGTCTGAAAAAAAGTCTACCAAAAGAGCCTCTGCAGAATTGGATATTTCACAAATCTCTATTATACGAATTCTGAAATTTATTGGGTTGAAAGATTATCATCCCTGATTTATTGGGTTTATTGGAAGATCATCCAGACAGGCGGCTGCATTAAAATGGGATGATACTGAACGAAATTAAAGAAAACCCAATAATTTTAGATAATATTGTATGGACGGGCGAGGCTTCTTTCAAATTATTTTATATGTAATAATTGTTTGTCAAAATTTAATTGTATTAGTATACAATCTCAAAATAAATGTTATCATTTTCTGTCAACCTACTTTTAGCTCACCCAGAAGATAACCACATAACTCGCTTTTACGACGCCTCATTCTACATTTGAATGATAACTCTAACATTTTTAGGCATTTAAAACAACATGCCTGGCCACATACACAATTCCGGAAAATCCTCGTTGAAAACACAACTATACTTAAACATGAAAACAATAAACAAAAACTAAAAATTCTTGAAGCTATTTACCTAAAACATTTGAAACCTAACCTAAACAAAATAAACTATGAAATCTCCACAAATATCCTTAAATATCTATAATTGATAACAGAAGCCATTGATTTATACCAACGGCTTCCCATATTTAATACTTCTCGTTTTCACTCTCGTGTGGTCATATGTGACGTCTTGAGATGCGGTGCGATTTTCGCTTCCGCGTACACAAGTTTGTCGTTGCTTGGAAATCTTTCATGCAACAAAAACAGACTATAATTATTGTTTTATCTGTGTATTGTTTAATATATTGAAATGTAATTGTCATCTTTGATAATGGCTTATGTAAGCCGAAAGCTTAGATTGGATTAAAAACATGTATCAATATGGTGATTTTCTTTCATCTTTCAATGATAATGTTATTAAGCTTATCAGATAATATGAAAGGAACTTACTTAAAATAAATAGCCAAAACTTGTCTATATTATTTAAGGAAACATGCATCAATATATATATATATATATATATATATATATATATATGCGCAGTACTTCGTAGAAAATGCTCAATATCAGTGATAGAGCTAATATATTCAGTTGTATGAATATTAGTTTGTGACTATGAGTTTCATGCTTTTGCGATAATCAAACTCTTTTTTGCTTGTCTGATAATCACAAAACCTGAAACTCAACGTCACAAACTAATATCCATACAACTGAATATATATATATATGTGTGTGTGTGTGTGTGTGTGTGTGTGTGTGTGTGTGTGCGTGCGCGTGTGTATGTACGTGTGCGTTTGCGCGTATGTGTGATGAGGGTGCTGTATATTCCTTAGTCAAACCAATTACTCCAAATGTGACCCATTCATGATCCGTTTGGGAACTTTTTAGCACTCATTCATAAGTATATTAACTTACTCTCTGATGTATTACTTCTGAATAGATTAAACCATATCTTCTAAGTTTCCTCCCATCTATCCTATGATCTATCTATCTATCTATCTATCTATCTATCTATCTGTTGAAACTTGACTAATGCATGGAATAATAATGCTACACAAAATGTACGTAGAACAAAATGTATTGAAACAAGAAAGTGTACACAATATTTACATATAGTCTTTTGTATATTCCTGGTAAGACCGTTCCTGGAGAATGTGTTGACTGAGTCGCAGTCGGGCAGAGTCTCTGGTTGAATCTCTTGATTCCTCCCTCTCTTCCCGGTACCAACCATATTTATATGGTCGGTACTCCACTATGCAAATTAGGTGGATCCTACCACAACACTATCTATCTATGCCTGTTCATATCTATCTATCTATCTATCTATCTATCTATCTATCTATCTATCTATCTATGTGTCTATGTCTGTTCATATCTATCTATCTATCTATCTATCTATCTATCTATCTATCTATCTATGCTTGTTCATATCTATCTATCTATCTATCTATCTATCTATCTATCTAGCCCAGTCTGTTCATATCTATTTACCTGTAAGTATTCCCATATCTAAGCATCTTCATACACATATAAATATATCAGTTTCTTTATCTCTCTTTCAATATTACATATCTGTCTATACTTGTTCGCAGATATATATTTAAACCTTTCATATGTATACACATACACACACGCACACACACACACACACACATATATATATATATATATATATATATATGCATACATATATAGATAGATAGATATTTGTGTGAGTGTCTGTGAGTGTGTGTGTATGTGTGTGTGAGTGTGTGTGTATGTGTGTGTATGTGTTTAGCGTG